TAAAAAGTATCTTATATTCGAAATCTAAGATATCAGTCCGGATGAATTGAATTTATTAAGAACTTTTCGTCTGAAGAGATGAATATAGAAATATTCACGAAATAAATTATAACCGAAACAGATCTCTAAGGTTTTCTTCTTGGTTTATTATTATTATTATTATTATTATTATTATGCTCTGTATTTTACATTGAGCTCTCACTGGATTAATATCCTCCTTGGAATTATCCCTACCAGTCATGTATGTATGTATGTATGCGCGTTTCATTGAATACGACAGGCAGGCTACATATTGTAATTTTTATTCAGTTTTTCTAGTGTTCTTGCAATTTTTCTTTTATGAGGTCTAAGTTTATTTTCCGGAATGCCCTGGTTAATACTTTAGCCATTTTCATGGCCGATGGTTACTTTTCATTGTTACTAAATTTTGGATTTGTTTCCTATCCTGTTAACTTTCCAATTATCAAATTCCTGGGGCGGGTTGTCATCGATTTCTACCTTTAATCGATTCAATTGGGAAAACAAACACAATGCCCTTACAATCTCACCAGATTCGCAGCATGACCCTCTGGATGCAGACCAGATTTTCAAGTGTTTAACGGTGGCTGATTTCGTTTTCCCCAGGACCTTTTTCGTTCCACATTGTTGTAAACAATCCATTTTTCATTACCTATGATCGTTGAGCCATTTTTTTAGCGATTGAGCAGAGTATCACAAATCGAAATGTGGTTCACCAATTTTTTCCGTTAACGTCCATATATGTGGATTATGTCTGCGATCTCCCACGTTTCTCGTGATTTGTGTTATTCTTAATAAGCGTTTCGATTTGTTTATCATCACCGAGTGCATGTCTTCAGGAACGATCTCAACCCAGTGAACCACTTACTAACGGCACTCTCAGCTATGGCACCATCACTATAAATAGCACATATCTGTTTTCCTCTTTGTACTGCGTTTTCACGTTTCCGGAAATAAAGAAAAAACATTTTCATTTCTTAACGTAAAACACTTCAATTTTTTATTGTCACATTGCAACCCCTGAACGCATAAATGTGATTTTATTGTTTCTTTGCGTTTTAAGAAATTTAAAGGAATAATACCACGGTGATCCCATCGAGCGCACATTACTTTTCTTCCATGGAGCATAGCTTTTGGAGTCGGTTTTGGAGATTGTTAATCCACTGCGTTTAACATTGTCGTATGTAATCCACTTTTCATCGCCTTTTACGCAATATTTCTGGAAGGGTTATAAAATACAAAGTAGAATTTGAAATGTTATTGCTCCTGATCTGGCATCTCGGCTTCAGTCACTCCCCACTCCTTTTGTAACGTATCTTCCCTGTGCATTTTCTATAAAGGAAAATGCACAGGGATGAGCTTTCCGCTTCGGTACCTAGTCTTTATAAATTTAAGCGCAGAATTAGATTGGCAGCTTAGTATCAGTATTTTACAATTGAGATATAACCGTAAGTGCTATACGAACAACATTTGTCTACATTTCTGAGATGAGGTACATAGACTGGCGCTACAATATCCAAAACAAAGAAATTTACCGAATAACAAAATCACGTCTATATTTCTGAGATGAAGTACTATGTACACTATTTACATTATTCGGGCTATTGTCCTCATCTTTCTTGCCATATTTATTACAACGTTTCGGCTGTTGTTCGCTCCGGCCTTCTTCAGGTGGTTGGAATGTTGAGGTAGACTGTTCTAGTTCCACGTGCCATGTTTAATGGATGTCAATTATCAGTTATCTCCTTTTAGTTCCCATCTCCAAGTTCTCCACTGCCTTAACCGGGTATTGAACTCACACTCTTTGGGTCCTGTCACTGGATCTAACCAACGCCTTTATCTAATGTGCCATCTGTCCTTGAACATGGCACGTGGAACTAGAACAGTCTACCCCAGTGAGCGAAATAAAGGGTTCAGTTCGATAGTCCAACCACCTGAAGAAGGTCGGAGCGTACAACTGCCGAAACGTTGTAATAAATATGGCGACAAAAATGAGGACAATAGTCCGAATAATATAAATAGTGAACAGTTTTTTCTCTCGCTCGTGGAACTCTTTTGGCTTGTGGAACTCTCTTGGCTTCTTACTTTCCTGTCGGCTTTGATCTTCAAAAAATTAAACGCTATGTCGATCGTTATCTTCTGTCTCCTGAATTCTTGTTCTTTTATTGCTTTCGTTCTTTAACATTGTTTTTTTTTTTCCTCATATTCTCTCACACTCAATAACCTCTTGCATTTTAGTGGCTTTACTGCCTTACCTGGGGGGGGGGATGCTTGTAAAAAGTGACTGAATTGTCACGTAAACAACAACCATCATGATAATGTTGGAATCAAGCTTTAATTAAACAATAACGTGTTAACTAATAACAACCGTGTTTCGTTGGCACAAAATCATCTTAATTTCTTTTTCTTTCTTTTGTGTCATTGCAGTTCTCGGCTGCATATGGTGATGTCAAAACCCACTTACGTTTCTACGGCATCCATGGACGCCATGATTAACGAATGTCACCGTATTAACAGCAACCGTTCAATTGAAAACTACATAGACCATGTAAGACGGAAACGGGGTGCAATTCCAATGTACCCGGGTAAATAATTTATTTGCCGGGATAGACTGACTGCCGCAAAACGCTTGCATTTGCTTTACATTATGAAAAAAAAATTGTTGAGTAATCTGACGCAATAAAGGATTGCCCAATGTTCTCATGATGATGTGAATAGACACTGTAATTTTACATTTCCTACCACTGATGACGTTAATTAAATCTTGATAACCCGTTAGAATATTATTCGGAGTTACTTTTATCTACAATTATTAATTTAGTATTTATTTTTCATTCCAATATTTGTCGTTTCGACATCTAAATTTTGGCCAGTGGATTCTCTGAAATTTCTCAAGTGTATGCCTCATCCGTACGAGTTTTAATTTTCTTTCTTTCATTCGAATCTCGATTTACTGTCGCCAAATTTCAATTTTGACGGCTTTAAAAATAACAGTATCTGACAAATCTTTGTTACTTAACTAAAAAGGAAGCACAGAAAACACTAGTTACTAGGCGTGACTTACACCTGACGAAGAGACACCACCAGTCGAAACATAGAAGATGTCGATATAATCAGAACAATTAACTGAAATTTTATGATATATAAGAGTGAAGAATAATAGAAAAAAAGTCTAAAGTAATCAATGTTAATTCATTAATTTATTATGTTTTTCTAATAATTTTTCTATAGGCCTAAAAAAAGTATTTCCTTTTTAAAGTAATTTTTTAATAATTTCATCCCCAGCAAGGCAATAAAGCCACTGAGACGCAAGGGGATTACTGGGTGTGAAAGAATACGACAAAAAGAAAAAAAGATTATTAACGATAGAGGACAATAAAAGATATATAGATAGAGAGAGAGAGATGAAGAGACTGAGATAGATACGAACAGAAACAGATAGATAGATAGATAGATAGATAGATAGATAGATAGATAGATAGATAGATAGATAGGAACAGAAATTATGATATCAAAAGATAACGATTAGCATTGCATTTAAACTTTTGAAGATCAAAGTTGACTAGAAAGCAAGAAGCCAGAAGGAGAGTGCAAGAGAAGAAACTGTCAGCATAGAACTTACGGTTACAGCTAGCCATTTCAACTGTAAAATAATGAGACCTAACTGCCAATCTAGTACAGCGTTTTAATTCTTAAAGTCTATATAGCAAATGGAAAGCTCATCGAATAATTACCATGAATATATTTATAGAAAATATACAGGGAAGCAACGTTACGGCTGTGAAAATATGGCTGAAACCGAAATGCCATGTCAGGACGGATAACATTGCAGATTCTTCTTGGGACTTTGCTAAAAGTATTGCAAATGCACAATAGATGCACCAGTCTATATATGGAAACAATATACAATATATGGACGAATGCTAGAATTATAAATGTCTAGATTACACTTCATGTCAGCGAAAAACCTTACCCGAGAACGCACAATGAGTCACTCACCTGGAGGTTAACATTAACAAGCCATTCCCCGGCCCAGATTGTATGTTATTTTTCTAATCAGCCGCCAGTCTGACCTTATCGAACCGATCAAATTTACCATTAAGACGGGAGTAAATATTTGTATCATCGGCATATATACCATATTTGAGAACTGATGACTTTGGGATATCGAGTAGGTTTGTTTAGCGGCATATCAACGCCTTATGGGTCATTTAATGCCGAAATTTAGTTTTCTTGGCAGCGTCATTAATTTCTTTTACAAAAGTATATTTCTGGTATTTATATTATAAAAATGATTATACTTTCATAGTCTTTTGACCCCAGATTGGGAGTTCACTTTTTGCCTATAGCTGGGATCCTAACAGGTGCTACCACCTCAGGTGGACAACAGCAATTAAGAGGCTGTTCGATCCTCTAAAAAACATCCCCCGGTCAGAGGCCTCGCTGCAGGATGTAGCTTATGGTCATACCCAGGGCGAATGACTGTTGATGAAAAATACGAACAACGTAGGTCCCTGGGAAAAAAAAAAATGCATTAATTCAAAAAGATCTCGAAGAGTGGCCGTTCAAGACAACTTTTCTTTCATGAATTGATAAGACTGAATCACATCAAAAATTCGTCCAGCAAAGTCATGAATTTTTCAACTTGTAAGAAGGCCAGCGTCTCAATCCTATTCCAATGACTTCGGGTTATCTAAACCAACAGCACGAGTTGACACTTTTCTATCTATATGTAGAGATTGATAGAGAACAATAAGAAAAATTTTATTTCAAAAGACGGCCCGAGTATTGCTGGAACATAGTGCTTTTAAGGCAAGCTGTCTTTATAATAATCATGTTCAATACCAAACTGTAGAATTTTTATTTTGACTCTCTTCTGAGTTTTACAAAATTGAATCCACGATTCAGGAAACTTGATTGTAAAATGTGCATGTAATAGGCGAAACACAGATAAGAAATAAGTGAACATTTCATTACATTTATCAGTAATAGATAGATAGATAGATAGATAGATAGATAGATAGATAGATAGATAGATAGATATGAAGAGACTGAGTAGATATGAACGGAAACAGATAGATAGATAGATAGATAGATAGATAGATAGATAGATATGAAAACTGAGTAGATAGATAGATAGATAGATAGATAGATAGATAGATAGATAGATAGATAGATAGATATACGAGCGCCTCATGGGACAGATAAAGCATAAATGACAAAGTCTGATATTGTCCATAATGCCTCATGTATATTCTGTTAAATGCACATCATCACGAGGGCAACGATCTAAGACAAAAACATTACTATTTCTTCGATCTTATATTAGAAGTCGTATTACAAAATAAATTTCGAAATGATTCCTCTCTGTTTAAGTCAAGACAATTAACAACTTAGGCCTGGAATTAAAAAAGAAGCCTTTTGAAAGCTTTAACATGTAGCACCATTATTACTCATCAAGTGATTAACGAAAGCCATTTTGTTTTAGGTACAAAATGGTGTGGAGATGGTAACATTTCAAAAAGCTACGACGACCTCGGTGAAAATCGTGATACAGACAAATGCTGCAGATCCCATGATTATTGCCAGGAATATATTCTACCATTTTCGCGTCGTTACGGTCTATTTAATTGGTCTGCCTTCACAAGGTAAGTAAAAATGGCTTATAGATTTACTTTATTTTACAACTAGATTCTATAATTGTTTTTCTTTTGCTGAGAGCCATACATTTTATCTGAAGACGCAAACAACGAACGGGAGATGTCAAAATCAAACAAGTACAGTGCTTTAAATATCTGAGAAGTGTTCTTTAACAGAGGATAGAAAATTTGACACTGAAATCCGAACACCGATTGGAAGAGCAAAGGTGCATTTCAAAAGCTAAGCAAAGTATAAAGAAAACAGAAAAACAACAAAGAATACTAAAATGTTATGTAACATCAATTCTGTTATATGGTAGCAAATGCTGTACAATCTCCTCACAGATGAAGTGAAAACTGGCGGCAATAGAAATGTGGTTCTACAGAAGGATGCTGAGAATACAATGGAGAGAGCACGAAGAAGTGTTAAGGAAAATAGAAATAATATACTTATACTCATCATATATATATATATATATATATATATATATATATATATATATGGGGTCCGCCCCTTTTTCATATAAGTGGACTCGACCAAAGAGTTACTTGGACAGCTGCCGTTAAATACCCAGAGTCAGTCAGAATAGAGTGAGAGATTGAGAGAGAGAGAGAGAGAGAGATTGGGAGAGTGAGCAGAGATTGTGATTGAGTTGGAGGTAGAGTAATAGTGTGAGGTAACCGCTTGTAGAAGCTCAAGTCTTGAACGACAGATCGGTTGAACTCTCTGCCTTCGGACAGGGAGGAACCCAATAGAGGCTACGCCGAAGGGCGGATTCTCTTTCGGAGAGGTAAACCGTTTATACGGGTTCAATGGGCATATTTTTGGCCAAGCCCACGGGCTCGGAGATCCCACTTTAAAAAGGCCTTGTGCCACATGACGCCCTCGTGGGGGGTGACTGAATATCATCAGTTACAAGCACGTAGACTCTAAGGAAGTCCCACTTCGAGACTATATCTATATATATTATTATTACGACTAACCGCGTTCCTGGATTTACTAACAATATACCCATTGTATTATTGTGTAAATACATTTAATTTCTTATCTTTATTTCTTGCGTTTGTCATTCATTGGAGACCGAATTTCATCTCGGAATCCACAACAATATATATATATATATATATATATATATATATATTTCAAAAATAAAAAAAAATAGCGACAATTTACCCATCGCACCCTGTCTATTCTGAATGCCCAAGTAGTAAAATCGCTCAACAAGTCCGACGCATTTTAACAACAGCTATGACAAAGTGCACAACACAGATCAGAGCAAATGTGGCCCCAGTAATGTTAACAAGGGCCGCTGGGAATCGTTTACAAGCCAGTGTCCCTCTAGGTAAATGTCTACACAAAACATGCACAATGGTGTTATGCACATCTCCTACACAGTACACAAGCCAAAACCATGTATGAAGGTCTTTAATACCTTTGTTTACAAGTCCCGCTCGCCTTTTGTTTGGTGGGTAAGGAAAGTTGGACATAGGTATTTTCACCAAGAACATGATTTACCTTGTTCAAGCAATTTAGGAAATAAAATATGGGGGTGCGTTGTTGCAACAGGATAATTCCACTTCACGTTTTGTAAGCTGTTCGACAACTTTCCTGACATGCACCATCCCTAGACCTGCACTCCTATTCAATATGTACGGAATACGAGGAGATGACACCTACTAGTTTCACCCATATATGTGAAGGGAGTAAATGTGTGTGGACGTCTGACGTTCGATTTCTGACCATGAGATTCGGGTGCTAGATTCGACAGGGAGGCGACTTGTTGATGTTATCGGCCTTCAGAGGCAATCCCAGTGCGCAGCACCTTTAGATGATTGCCTGAAAACCATACTACGGTTTGGATTAAACTTTGTGAGTGGAATTGGGTACAAGGAACTGTTCGAAAGCCGACGATGCTTCTGCTAGCACAATCTTGCAAGCCATCGTGACCGAGGATTTGAACGTACTGGCATTGTTTAAAAAAAAAAGTTGTTAATCACGACAGATGATACGCTTTCTTCCGTCAACTGTAACTAAGGTCTCCACCTTTTCCCTTCTTACTTCTGGCAAAAAATATACATTTAAATTACGAAGATATATTCTTATATATATATATATATATATATTCTGTAAATTTACATTGAGCACTATTTTATATATATATATATATATATATATATATATATATATATATATATATATATATATATATATATATATATATATATAATAATAATTTGGCACGCTCAAATCACCGTGCTGATAACAAATATGGCGCCAGTTTGTTTACATTGCGCAGATCAGTACAAAATTTCAGTGATTGCGCACATCAGTGTTGCCAACATTGAGTGAAAATTTTGTGTGAATTGATTGGACGGTTTTTGAAATATTAAAAAAAAAGTTATCTCGATAATAATTTGGCACGCAGTATATATATGTAAATTTACATTGAGCACAATTTTGTAAAAATAAATAAATATATATATATATATATATATATATTCCTAACAATTTTTTTTTAAATTATTTTAACATATATTTTACAACTATTTTAAATGAACCTCCAGTATCACTATAACATTTTTATATACTTTTGAACCAAAATACAATTTTTATTTTATTTATTATGTCTTTTTAATACATAGCAATTTAAAATTAATATCAAAGAATTAAATTAATATTAAATGTACCATAATATATAGTCAAATGAGGATATATGATTATAATACATAGACTTTTGTACAAATTTTTTAAATATATTTTAAGGTGAACATTTTACAATGTCTACATATGACTGTGTTATGGTCCGGTTCCTTGTACCACGGTGATAGTCCAAGGTAGAACCAATAAAGAAGAACTCGAACACGGATATGGAATAACACAGATATATTACAAACAGGAATATATACAGAGAAGTAGAAAATGTTAGTACGAACAATCAGGTTTGGTAGTAATTGTCTGAACGTGACTCTGTTTCGGACTGCCTCTGACTCGACTGACTGACTCGCTCGCTCTGACTGACTGACAGACTCCTGACGGACTTCTGACGGACCTCACTCCAGACTTCAGACTGAACGATATCTAGTCACCCCCCCCCCACGAGGGCATCATGTGGCACAAGGCCGATTTAACGTGGGATCTCTGAGCCCGTGGGCTCGGCCAAAAATATGCCTTTGAACCCGTATAAACGGGTTCAGGGCCGGTTTACCTCCCCGAAAGAGACTCCGCCCTTCGGCGTAGCCTCGCTCGGGTTCCTCCCCGCCCGAAGGTAGAGAGTTCAACCGATCAGCCGGTCAGCCCGTCGCCCGACTTCAGACTGAACTCCCTGCTTCCTCTTGAAGCGCAGTATTTATTACGTATGGAATAGTCTATGATGTTAATATGGGTAAGGTCCCATAACAGACTGTAAGCTCATTTAGCTGATTTTTAATTATGATTTATTATTATGATTATTATTTTTAAGAAACTAAATATTGTATAGCTTATCACGTAGACACGGGGGTATGAGTCATTTAAGGACTTAAATATTCTCGTTTTCTTAATATTTTCTATTTTACTGTGGGGGTTTTATTGATTTCTTTTAAATACCAAAATATTTAGATAGGGATAGTTGGTTACGGTACATGTTTTTAAAGGAAGAATTATGCTGGCACCATGTTAATTTAAAAGAGTTTTTTATGCTACCAATATAATGGTTTTAATACCTGGGCTTTCAGTCGATGAAATAGTGCATTGATAAACAATAGATTCAGTAAGGCATTTATTTTCCTATGGACACTTTATAAGGTTTCTACAATGACATACTTCATTATCGAAATTATTGATTTCCGTTTTGGAATTACTCTTATTTTTATTTAAAATTTTATTATTATGTTTCTTTTTATATTTTTTATAGATAATAAGTACAACTATGACTTAATTTTAGCGTATAATTTATTGAAAATATTGCTTAGTGGATTATTACTCGGAAAATATTTCTCAATCAAAACAAGAAACTTTTGCCCTAACTTCACATCTAACCATTTGCTTAAAAGTGGGTGTGAACCAAATGATTTTTTCCGTTTTTTCTCCGCTTGTAGATATTTTATCCCTTACATATTTAATAATGGGATACTTATATCCACTATTTTTTAAGCATTATTATAAACATTGCAAGTTTTATTAAATACATCTTCATTTGCAGAATTTCGACTAATTCTATATTCTATGGATAAGGGTTGGTGTTTTATAATAGATATATGATTAGACTTAGAGTGGATATATAAAGGATTTGTATTTGCTTTTTATATGGTTGGTGTATATTATTTACTAAGTCTAATGTCACATCAAGGAAGTTTACTTTTTTTAGATTTGTATTAATAGTAACTTTTAAATTTAGGTTTTAAATTTAGGTTTCTCATTTTGTCAATTTTAAAATTTGTTGAGTTCCTCACAACCATAAGGCCATCATCCTAATGTAATCCTCTATCTTCTGTACTGATATCATAGTTGGTAGTAAGATTGTATAGAATAAATAATCCAACGATATCAGAGGACCTCGCAGAGTCCAACGATC